TCAAAATGTCATGTTGTCTCATTTTTTCAGAGAAGTTAAATTACCTGGTGACCTGGTGACCCGGTGACCTCATCAGTTCTTCAAAAATAAATAATTATTGAATAACCGAAACCATTAACGAAACCATAACGATAACATCATATTTCCGTCAGTGTTGTTGTCAAAATGTCATGTTGTCTCATTTTTTCAGAGAAGTTAAATTACCTGGTGACCTGGTGACCCGGTGACCTCATCAGTTCTTCAAAAATAAATAATAAGTGCCTTTCCGTCACTGTTGTTGTCAAAATGTCATGTTGTCTCATTTTTTCAGAGAAGTTAAATTACCTGGTAACCTGGTGACCCGGTGACCTCATCAGTTCTTCAAAAATAAATAATAAGTGCCTTTCCGTCACTGTTGTTGTCAAAATGTCATGTTGTCTCATTTTTTCAGAGAAGTTAAATTACCTGGTGACCTGGTGACCCGGTGACCTCATCAGTTCTTCAAAAATAAATAATAAGTGCCTTTCCGTCACTGTTGTTGTCAAAATGTCATGTTGTCTCATTTTTTCAGAGAAGTTAAATTACCTGGTGACCTGGTGACCCGGTGACCTCATCAGTTCTTCAAAAATAAATAATAAGTGCCTTTCCGTCACTGTTGTTGTCAAAATGTCATGTTGTCTCATTTTTTCAGAGAAGTTAAATTACCTGGTGACCTGGTGACCCGGTGACCTCATCAGTTCTTCAAAAATAAATAATAAGTGCCTTTCCGTCACTGTTGTTGTCAAAATGTCATGTTGTCTCATTTTTTCAGAGAAGTTAAATTACCTGGTGACCTGGTGACCCGGTGACCTCATCAGTTCTTCAAAAATAAATAATAAGTGCCTTTCCGTCACTGTTGTTGTCAAAATGTCATGTTGTCTCATTTTTTCAGAGAAGTTAAATTACCTGGTGACCTGGTGACCCGGTGACCTCATCAGTTCTTCAAAAATAAATAATAAGTGCCTTTCCGTCACTGTTGTTGTCAAAATGTCATGTTGTCTCATTTTTTCAGAGAAGTTAAATTACCTGGTGACCTGGTGACTCGGTGACCTCATCAGTTCTTCAAAAATAAATAATAAGTGCCTTTCCGTCACTGTTGTTGTCAAAATGTCATGTTGTCTCATTTTTTCAGAGAAGTTAAATTACCTGGTGACCTGGTGACTCGGTGACCTCATCAGTTCTTCAAAAATAAATAATAAGTGCCTTTCCGTCACTGTTGTTGTCAAAATGTCATGTTGTCTCATTTTTTCAGAGAAGTTAAATTACCTGGTGACCTGGTGACCCGGTGACCTCATCAGTTCTTCAAAAATAAATAATAAGTGCCTTTCTCCACTGTTGTTGTCAAAATGTCATGTTGTCTCATTTTTTCAGAGAAGTTAAATTACCTGGTGACCTGGTGACCCGGTGACCTCATCAGTTCTTCAAAAATAAATAATTATTGAATAACCGAAACCATTAACGAAACCATAACGATAACATCATATTTCCGTCAGTGTTGTTGTCAAAATGTCATGTTGTCTCATTTTTTCAGAGAAGTTAAATTACCTGGTGACCTGGTGACCCGGTGACCTCATCAGTTCTTCAAAATAAATAATAAGTGCCTTTCCGTCACTGTTGTTGTCAAAATGTCATGTTGTCTCATTTTTTCAGAGAAGTTAAATTACCTGGTAACCTGGTGACCCGGTGACCTCATCAGTTCTTCAAAAATAAATAATAAGTGCCTTTCCGTCACTGTTGTTGTCAAAATGTCATGTTGTCTCATTTTTTCAGAGAAGTTAAATTACCTGGTGACCTGGTGACCCGGTGACCTCATCAGTTCTTCAAAAATAAATAATAAGTGCCTTTCCGTCACTGTTGTTGTCAAAATGTCATGTTGTCTCATTTTTTCAGAGAAGTTAAATTACCTGGTGACCTGGTGACCCGGTGACCTCATCAGTTCTTCAAAAATAAATAATAAGTGCCTTTCCGTCACTGTTGTTGTCAAAATGTCATGTTGTCTCATTTTTTCAGAGAAGTTAAATTACCTGGTGACCTGGTGACCCGGTGACCTCATCAGTTCTTCAAAAATAAATAATAAGTGCCTTTCCGTCACTGTTGTTGTCAAAATGTCATGTTGTCTCATTTTTTCAGAGAAGTTAAATTACCTGGTGACCTGGTGACCCGGTGACCTCATCAGTTCTTCAAAAATAAATAATAAGTGCCTTTCCGTCACTGTTGTTGTCAAAATGTCATGTTGTCTCATTTTTTCAGAGAAGTTAAATTACCTGGTGACCTGGTGACCCGGTGACCTCATCAGTTCTTCAAAAATAAATAATAAGTGCCTTTCCGTCACTGTTGTTGTCAAAATGTCATGTTGTCTCATTTTTTCAGAGAAGTTAAATTACCTGGTGACCTGGTGACTCGGTGACCTCATCAGTTCTTCAAAAATAAATAATAAGTGCCTTTCCGTCACTGTTGTTGTCAAAATGTCATGTTGTCTCATTTTTTCAGAGAAGTTAAATTACCTGGTGACCTGGTGACTCGGTGACCTCATCAGTTCTTCAAAAATAAATAATAAGTGCCTTTCCGTCACTGTTGTTGTCAAAATGTCATGTTGTCTCATTTTTTCAGAGAAGTTAAATTACCTGGTGACCTGGTGACCCGGTGACCTCATCAGTTCTTCAAAAATAAATAATAAGTGCCTTTCTCCACTGTTGTTGTCAAAATGTCATGTTGTCTCATTTTTTCAGAGAAGTTAAATTACCTGGTGACCTGGTGACCCGGTGACCTCATCAGTTCTTCAAAAATAAATAATAAGTGCCTTTCCGTCACTGTTGTTGTCAAAATGTCATGTTGTCTCATTTTTTCAGAGAAGTTAAATTACCTGGTGACCTGGTGACTCGGTGACCTCATCAGTTCTTCAAAAATAAATAATAAGTGCCTTTCCGTCACTGTTGTTGTCAAAATGTCATGTTGTCTCATTTTTTCAGAGAAGTTAAATTACCTGGTGACCTGGTGACCCGGTGACCTCATCAGTTCTTCAAAAATAAATAATAAGTGCCTTTCCGTCACTGTTGTTGTCAAAATGTCATGTTGTCTCATTTTTTCAGAGAAGTTAAATTACCTGGTGACCTGGTGACTCGGTGACCTCATCAGTTCTTCAAAAATAAATAATAAGTGCCTTTCCGTCACTGTTGTTGTCAAAATGTCATGTTGTCTCATTTTTTCAGAGAAGTTAAATTACCTGGTGACCTGGTGACCCGGTGACCTCATCAGTTCTTCAAAAATAAATAATAAGTGCCTTTCCGTCACTGTTGTTGTCAAAATGTCATGTTGTCTCATTTTTTCAGAGAAGTTAAATTACCTGGTGACCTGGTGACTCGGTGACCTCATCAGTTCTTCAAAAATAAATAATAAGTGCCTTTCCGTCACTGTTGTTGTCAAAATGTCATGTTGTCTCATTTTTTCAGAGAAGTTAAATTACCTGGTGACCTGGTGACCGGTGACCTCATCAGTTCTTCAAAAATAAATAATAAGTGCCTTTCCGTCACTGTTGTTGTCAAAATGTCATGTTGTCTCATTTTTTCAGAGAAGTTAAATTACCTGGTGACCTGGTGACCCGGTGACCTCATCAGTTCTTCAAAAATAAATAATAAGTGCCTTTCCGTCACTGTTGTTGTCAAAATGTCATGTTGTCTCATTTTTCAGAGAAGTTAAATTACCTGGTGACCTGGTGACTCGGTGACCTCATCAGTTCTTCAAAAATAAATAATAAGTGCCTTTCCGTCACTGTTGTTGTCAAAATGTCATGTTGTCTCATTTTTTCAGAGAAGTTAAATTACCTGGTGACCTGGTGACCCGGTGACCTCATCAGTTCTTCAAAAATAAATAATAAGTGCCTTTCCGTCACTGTTGTTGTCAAAATGTCATGTTGTCTCATTTTTTCAGAGAAGTTAAATTACCTGGTGACCTGGTGACCCGGTGACCTCATCAGTTCTTCAAAAATAAATAATTGTTGAATAACCGAAACCATTAACGAAACCATTAACGATAACATTTATTTTTGGTCGTTTATGATAAAAATAAATGGTTCATTTACTCACAATATTTTTGTACAAACGGCCCCCAAACTTTTAACTTCTTTTCTGCAGCTTCAAATGCTATCTTAGCGAGTTCATATTCTCTAAATTCTCTCTTTAAATTTTCTTGTTCCCATTGGTCTAGTTCGTATGGGGAATCTCTATAACCATAACACATCTCACGTTCATGTTCTAATTGTTTTTCGCACATTTTTCTAACTTCTTGTTCGAACAAAGGTTTAGCATTCACTACTGTATCTTCAACTTCTTCTTCATCTAATTTCTCATGAACTTTCTTGTCTATGGAGTCCATAATATCTTTGACATAAAATGCATACTTTACAGAGCACCATTTAGCAACAAAATGAACGAGGTCAGGATGTATGTAAATACCTTTGAATTCATTTATAACACCCTTTGTAAGCTCATAAAATGCTCGTTTTGAGGTTGAGCCACTTTTGGCTCGACCGTATTCTTTCATCCAAAACTCGAGAATTTCCTGCATTTTAGTACTATTGAGAAATCTGTTTAAATGGTTTAACTTTCCCGCTTCTCTTGCCATCTTTGTTGCATTAATGTAACCATCCTTGTCTCTACGTAAGACTTCAATACCATTATAAGTGCCTTTTGTGAATGTTTCGCCATTAGATTTGTTCGTGAATGTTTTTGCTTCGACTGACATTACTGTCTTTACATACAAAATAAAAAAATAAAAATAATTTTAAAACTAACTTTATTTTTGGACTACATCAAATTTCCTATGTTGTTGTCAAAATGTCATGTTGTCTCATTTTTTCAGAGAAGTTAAATAACCGAGTGACACATGGTGACGTAGTGACACCTTCAGTTCTTCAAAAATAAATAATAAGTGCCTTTCTCCAGTGATGTTGTCAAAATGTCATGTTGTCATCATTGAATTCTATACCATGCGAATACAGTCATAAATGGTGGCATATAATCTTCACCCGAGCCTGTTGGATTTGTTGTGAAAGTATGTGAATGATTTCCTCCCGGTTCAGTTTGTCGAAAAGTCTTTTTTGTTGAATGGTTATAATCTGGAGATAAAACGTCATTGCCAGCTTCATAGTCTGAGTTGTATAATGGGTGGTCTCTTAATGAGTGTCTATGGTCGCCAGAAAAGTTTGTAGTTCCTGTATGAGTGTGTGGTGGAAGGTTTGCTTCTTTAATTTTCTTCGAACCACCTGTTTCCTTTGAAGAGTTTGCACAATACAAAAACCTGTCGACTATTTGTTCCCATGCACCAACACCAAACATTACTTGAGGACCTCTTGCATCCATTGATGTATAAATAGAACCTACTGGGTTCATTAAATCAAACATATGAGATATTATAGGATTGTCTCTTTTGAACTTAAAATATAGTGCAACTATTTCAGGTTTCTTCTGGTTTGTGTCGGAATATTTTTTATAATATAATCTTATGTTTTCAGGGTAGGTAAAATCTTGACTATAATATTTATTTCTGTCATCTGTATAATAATATACTATTCTCGTTTTTTCTATTGCATTATATCTTTTATATCTATAATAATCTAAATATAATGTTAGTTTTTGTTCATCTACATGTGGTGTTCTGTCGTCATCTCCATAGTCATAATAATATGGTGCTGGAGCTGGGTTAGGCAATGTCATATCTGCCATTTCATAAACTCTAAAATATTTCTTTTGTTCGTCTCCATATAAGTTTAAGTAACAGTTGTTGTCTAATGGAACTTTAACTTGTGCACCATCATTCTTTTTATAGCTTACATACATTTCATTGTTATTTTTCGGAATGAGTTTACACCGTATACCATTTTTTAAGGACTGTACAAACTGCCATCTAAAATATTTATTTTCTTCATTGACATAAAAGTCGCCAACAATAGTTTCAATATTTTTTGTTGTTCCTATCAAACTTTGGTATATTTCATTAACATAAGTTTTATCCGCTTTCTTCTCTAACTCACTATCCACATAAGTTTTAAACGCTTTAAGGTCTAAACATCCTGAAACCCATCCCGTATCAGCTTTAACTTTAAAAGTCTCAAATGTCCATTCATGATACCATTCAACCTTTTCTTTAATTTCATTATCTTTTTCATCAACATAAACCAAATTTGCTTTCTTCATTAACTCATCGTTAACATATTCCTTATCTGCTTTCTTCATTATGTCATTTAGGAAACCTTCTATGAATTTCTCATTTAAATTAAATCTTCCAATCTTCAAAACTTTAGGAAATGCATTTAATGCGTAATATCTTTGTTCTTCTGGCGGAATTGATGTTATATCATCCGTTATTCCTTTAATTTTTGAATTCATAAATAAAATTTCTTTTATATTTGATATCACCGCACCACCTTTGCAAACGAATTCGAAATGGTCATTTTTCAATACTATCTCCAAATCTCCATATTTCAACATTTGCGTTTGTTCTGCCGTCTTTGAATTATATGCATATATGGCGTATGTAATGGTCTGTGCCTTAAGTTGTTGTGGTTGCTGTTGTTTAATCATTTATTATGATTTAAAAATAAATATTTAATCCGTTATCTCATCAGCTATTTTCTCTATTTGAAATTGCCATAATATTTCATTCATAAATTCTAAATCACAATCAAATAGGTCAGTTATTCTAAATTTAATATTTGATAAATCTTTTGAATGAAGAATAAATGAATTCCCGGATAATTGAAACGGATATGATAAAGAAAATGTGTTTAAGTTGATGGATAAAATGTTTTGTATTGATGGGTAAGAGTTAGGGTCTAATGTTTGATGTGAAAATCTCATTGGAGTATTAACTTTATCACATTTGATTAAAATGAAATTGGAACCAGTGTCAGAATACAAAACATCCCCAACATCTTTTTCAAAATTTAATATCCCCAACAATGAACGAAGATGAGGAGTACAAAATTTAATTTTCAGCGGGAATTTAATAAGGTTATTTATTTCATCAAGTTCAAAAAGTTTATCGGGTTTTGATTTAAAATTTTCTTCATACCATACGATAAATGATTCATTTAAATAACTTAAAATCGTGTTAATATCCCATTTCGCGATCATATTATTTATATACATATCATACGTTTTTTCATGGTCATCTTTAATAAATGATATATAATCTGAAGGGTCTAAAAGAATGGGATTAAATTTACCACTCACAGAAACGAGAGTAACATTATAAATTCCGCTAACTGTTAAATTTAATTCACAGTTATTATTCGAAATAATATTGATAATTGACATTTTTATTACGATTAAAAATATGGTAAAGCGTTATTTTCCAGTGATAAATAAAACTAGAATAAGATTACCTCAAGAATTCATAAATTCAACGAATAAGAAATTCATTCATGTTATAAATTTTAGTGTTTTCAGAAAATATGAGTCGATGTCATATTCATCAACGGGTTATATTTCACTTCATTCAAATTTAGTTCAATCAAACCCATATAATGACCATTTCATAAGATTTTCAGATGGTATTAAAAATGTAATTGATAGATTAAAATATGAACAGATTGACAATATCGAATTTTTGGAATTTTGGTTTAAATATCCCGATGGAAAAAAGATTGAAGTTAAAGATAAAGCTGATACTATAACAAAAACAATTACAATGACCGATCCGGATAGTGGGGAACAAAAAGAAATAAAACAAACGATAGAAACTGGTGAAAGGTCAATTATTATTGATTATGATTCAAAGGATTATTATTCGATAATGTTAATGCTTGAATATTAAATAGCCTTAACAAAGAATTTTTCAAGTGATATTTTATATTCATCAACTATTTTATTATAAATATCATTATATGTTAAATGAAGTTCAGTTGTTGTTCCGTTCTTTGATATCTTAATTGTGCTAATATCCTTTATAGGATTTATTTTTGCAACTGTTCCGCAGCATGAAACCTCATCATCTATGAAAAATTGAATCTTAACGTCTGAATCTTGAACATCACAAAGAATGGCGATAATGTGAATTAATGATTCATAAGGTAAAATAATTAAACCGGATTGATCAATTAAATTTATTATTGAATCATAATTATTAGTTATTATATCACGGTAAATTTTCATTAATTCAGAATTAATGTCTATTTTATATGGGTTCTCGATGTTTGATGAAAGAGGTGCTGGGTATGTTGGATAAGTGGGAATTTCAACGGGTTCTTTACCGGGTTCAGATAAAATGATTGGGTCTCCATTCTCATGGTTTTCTTCATTCTCCTCATTCTTCGGTAAGTCACGAGTTAATAAATTTGGTTGAGTTGCTGACCTTGTTAATTCAGGGCTAACATTAACTTTAACATTTTGAATAATTCGTGATTTATCATCATTTACGTTATAACCAACCGTAATCTCTGCTTTTGCGTTAGTGTTCTTTTGACCAGTGAAACGTCTTCTCATTTATAATCGAATAAAAAAATATATTTAAACTTTTATTTTGCCGGAACTTTTGAATCTATTATTCCCTGTATTTGTTCATGAAGTTGATTTTTTGCTGTTTCATCGAAATTAATAGACCGAATATATTCATTAATTGCATTCTTATAATCAACTGATTTCTCAAATTTTCTTTTATCTGATTCCTTAACTAAATCATAAGTTAAACCTCGTTGCTGATATAATGGTTTCTTAATTAAATCTTTGAATGCTTGAGATAAAGCACCCGATGCAATTCTTGCTACTATAATTGGTTGGAATTGCTGTTTAAGTTCATCTTTAACATTTGCGAAAACTGGATCGAATAAAGCAACTTTAAAGAATTTCTTAGCTGAAATTTCGGGTCTCATATTTGCATATTGACCATCAAACTGGTTAGAATATCGTGGTAATCCATCCGGTCCCTCTTCAATAGCATTTAATTCTTCATTGAAATAAGAATATGGATTATGACGGTATGAATTAATTGGACCATTTTCACCTTCTCCAATGTATTGTTTAACAGCTTTTCCATTTTCATCAAATTGCATAGGATAACGTTCATTATATGCTTTCCGTTTAGGATAATCGGATACAGTTAATTTATAACCATTTATGACTTTAATATTACCTTGACCATCAGTAACGAAAACTTCATTTATACCATCAGGTTTTCCATTTGGACCTGTAATGTCTGCTTCGTGTGCTTCCCAATTTGGACCATGACGTTTGGCATATGCTTGAGCTTCTGGTAATGTTAAAACATTTCTCATTTGTTTAACATCTTTTTGAAGACCAGCAACGATATGAACTAATTCTTTCATTCCATCAGGAACTTTCATAGTTCTATTATATGCACCCCTTTTGTTTGTCCCTCGTTTTAATGGAACCTGTAGAAGATTTGCTATTTCTGTCATGTTTAATTATAAATAAAAAATAAAAATTAATTATAAAAAGTTAATCAAATTTAACACTTCCTTTATTTAAATCAACTATTATTTTTCCATGTTCACCTAATTGCTGATATTGTGTGTAAAGTTCATTAATGCTCATTGGTAAATTCACTTGATAAAGCATAACGTTCAACTGTTGACGACTAAACCCACTGAAAATGAAAAGTGTTGATAGATTTGATTTAATGTTTGTGCTTAATGCTTTGAAATATTGAACAGCCATAAAGAATGAACACTGAATGTGTCGACATTGAGTTAATAACTGATTAAAATATGATTTCTCATTTGTTATTAGTTTTGATTTCACCGCATCATCTAGAAAAATGAGTGAATGCAAAAATTCTCTATCAAAATTTGAAATAGAAAGTGTTTCAAATAATTCGTCCCGTTGTTTATCAATAATTTTATCCTCTAATCCTTGCTTCTTGATTGTATTATATAGGGTGTCCAAAGGTGTGTTTAGCACAAACCTGAATACTGCGAATAGAAATAAACAAGTTACATATATATAAAGTTTATTTAAATATAATCACCATTGGATTCAATCACGCGTTCGCAGCGATCGATCCAGGCTTGAAAGACACGCTTTAAATCATCATGAGAAAATTGCTCAAATTGCTCTCTTACAAAATTTTCAAGATCATCTGGACTCGCGAATTCGCGTCCTTCAGCTCTCTTTTTTAGCGTGCCGAATAAATAAAAGTCAGAGGGTGCAATATCAGGTGAATAAATTGGGTTTGGAACAACTTTGACATTGTTTTCCACCAAGTAATTCATTACTTTATGACTTTTGTGAACTCTTGAATTATCAAAATGAATTGCAAACTTTTGTTTTTGTTGTTTGGATTTCTCAAACTCATCAGAATTGATAATTTGAGTAAGAACATTGTCAATTAGATACTGAGCATTCATCGTATTAGGTTTTTGAAGAATATCAATTGCGATGATGCCATTCACGCCCCAAAAAACCGACAACATCATCATTGGTGTGTCAATTTTTTTCTTCGGAATGTTTGCGGATTTTCATCCTTCGGATCCACATGATTTTGGCTTCTGTTGCATATTGAAACCAAGACTCGTCCTCTGTTACTAAAAAGCGAAACTTCTTGGATTGATACGCACCCAATATAGAGAGGAGCTCTTTCGAAGATTGGACTCTAGATTTTTTTTGAACTGAATTAAGGTTGTGCGGAACCCAACGTGTATACGCTAGTTTGTAGTTCAAATAATTGTGCAGATAATAACTGACTGTTGTACATGGTATCTTTGTCATCTCCTCTATCCTTCTGAGTGATGCTCTTGGGTCTTCATCTAGCGCTTGAAGAATTGCTTTGATTTTTCTTTGATCCGGCGATTTTTTGTCAATTTTTATGATGGCGCCTTTTTGTTCATGAAGTGATACATCCTAACATGATACGTTACAGTGGAATAGCTAGGAGCATCCATACCGAAGCATTTTACCAATGTCTCGTAGATTTTTTACAGTCTTTGCATTTTTTTGCAAGAGCGAGGATGTTTTCTTTATGATTCATTAAAAAATGAAAAAAATCCCCCAAAATTTCCCGCGAAACCGCCTCTTGTCTCAAAATTCATTTTATATCCCGGCATGGCGCCAAAATACAACTTACTCATATACATATATTCATATTTTTTATTATATATTTATAATCAGCATATATCTCCTTTAATAGTCTCATATAGAGCGCTGTGCTAAACGCACCTTTGGACACCCTATATAATTCTTTATACATTAAAAAGTTTTTTAAATAATCTTCTGCTTCTTCTTGTGATAAATAAATAATTGGAATTTTGATTAAATGCTTTAAAGATTCAAATGTATCATCTGAAGGTGAACCTGAACGGTTGATATAAATTAACACATGTGAATAGGGGGAAGTGTTAGCAATAATGATAATTTGTTTTAATATCGTTAATGTTTTACCTTTATTCTGTTTACCAATTGCTGCAGTGATTGAATTTAAGTAACATTCAGAATATGGAATTTTCATTAATTTTTCCTTAGATAGAGCATTTCTATTATCACTCAATGCTTCATTAATCATATCATCTACGTATGTATTATATACTCCCGCTAATTCTTCATAAGGGGTGATGAATTTAAATCCATTTAATCAAAAATAAATTTATAATTTTAAACATTTCTATTCATCAATATTTCATCATATGAACTTCTATACTGTGGTGGTGTACCTGTTGGATGATATTTCAAACCTTCGTCCGGTGTCCATGTCCAATATGTAGTCCTAGTAAACCAAACTGAGGAGGATTTGTCACCTTTGAACAGTAAGTGTCATTTTCACCCTGAATGATTGGATAAGCTTTCACTTGTACTGTAACTTGTGAGTTGAAAGTTTCTAATCCATCAAAGAATATACCCGCTCCATCACGTTGAACTGGAATAGTGCATAAGAATGAAGTTTGGTCTTTCCATGTTCTAGCTAATGGCGTGCCATCATCTGCATTCAGCGGTCTAGTTAATGAGTCCTTGTATTCTTCCGTGCATTCATTCACTCCATCTAAATCAGAAGCTTGAAGCATACGTGTAAAGAATATGTCACCCACTGTGGTCATCGCTTGATCGGGGAAGTTTTTGGAATCTATAGTGACCTGAAGACCTCGAAGCATTGGATTTTCTAAAACCGTTCTTTGCATTGCATTCTTCGGAAATGTTAACACAACATCTGTGACATTATGAAGAGCGTATGAGAAATCCGAGCTAATACCTTCAGGAGTGATGCAACCTCCATTTAGTGAACGAACGTCAATATGTTGAGCTGGAATCATGAATGGATCTTCCTTACTGAATAAACGTGGTATTGCTTTAACCGATTCTTCAATTAAACCATATCCTGGTGTAATGCATTTATCCTCTAAAACTTCCATCTTTGTGCATGAAATAATAACACTTTCAACTGTTGCGTCAGCAGATGTAGCAGCTAAGCCTGTAATTAATTTGGTAGGAAGTCCGATTTGTTGGAATTTGCGATCATATTTATAAACATGATTCATAATCTTTTCATAATTTTCATCAGTTATCTTTTCATAAACGTAATTTTGTAAATCAGCAACTCTTAACGGGTCAACCTGACAAAATACTAAAGTATCCCTGAAAACATAATATTTAAGAATGATATCGCCAAATGATTTTGGATAATCATCGAACGCCTGAAATGCTAACAAATCATTTACCGGAATAATCATATCAAAAGTGATATCAACTTCTTCATTTGCTTTCTTGAAAACTTCTGAAGGGTCAATATATTACCACATACTGATTATCATATTTTTGAACATTATTATATAACGAATGAACAAACTTTTTAACTTTCCTTTCTGATTTTGGTTTATATGTTGCAAATGCAAAAGATTCACGGGCGCAATCCATCTGAAGATAACCGGCATCACCTCTTTCGGTTTCTACTTCTAATTGTTTAAAGCTTTGATTTGATGATTTGTAACCAACGAATAAACGCATGCATTTAAAAGCGGCATCACATGTGAAAGCTTTATTTGAAACTAGAGTTGCTTTAACTTTGCGTTTAATATATGTGTCACCTAATTGGTTCACATCATGAGCTGGGTTTGTAGTTCTTAAATGAGTTTGTTTATCATCAAAATATGGAGTATCAGAGTCATAGCATGAACTTTCAAGTTCTCTATAATATCTTCTACCGTCATTCTTTGCGAATATCTCATTTATCTTTTCGAATGAATGAAATACATTTCCATTAATTGGTTTAGTGTTTGGCACTAAATAGTTAGTCGTCATTTATTAATAAATAAAAAATCAAAATTAAAAGATGAAAATGAATTTTTTAATTTTAATGAAATAATCAACTATGGCTGCAGGTATATTTAAGAAATTGTGGGATAAAGTAAAAAGAGGAGCGAGTAAAGTTTGGGAAACATTGAAGAAGGGAGCAAATTGGATATTTAAGAATAAAGAAGCAATTAGTGACGTTGCTGAATCAATAACGCCAAAAGCTGCCCCAATAAGAGAAATTTTAAATAAAGGAGAAAAAGTTTATCAAAGACTACAACCGATACTAAGATAAAAATAATTTTAAAATAATTTATTTTTCCACTATCTACCCCCTATTTTATTAAGTATTGATTCAGCAATTCCACCAATTGCGTTACCTGCTTGTGCTCCCATCGCCGGGTTACCTGCTTTAGTACCTAATACTCCACCTATGATAGTTCCTGCCGTTTTCGCTACTGGTGCCAAAAATTTTGCAACAGGTTTAATAACCTTTTTATAAACCCAACCCGCAGCTTTCTTAATTCCATCCCATAATTTTTTAAAGAATCCTGCCGCCATTTCTGATTTAATATTAATTAAAAAATTCATTTTCATCACTTATATTCTAATTTTTATTTAATGATAAATGAAACCTATTTTAAAAATAAATGGAACAGAGGGGGATGAAATAAATGAGAGTGAAAATGTTCAACAAAAAATAAACGTTGTTAAACCAATTACTGAAATAAAAATTTTTTCATCTGTTGAAGAATTTAATGACTATTATGCTAATAATAAAAAATTATTTGAAGAATTGACAACGTGTAAATTGAATAAAATGTTTAAAGTTGATGGATTCAAAATTTCAAAAATAAAGGGGGTGGTTAGTTTGAAATCTATTCCTCAATCAAGAATCACCACATTAATGAAAATAGATGATTTAACAAAAAGAATAGAAGAGATTGAAGAAAGAATGAATCAAATAATTGATTTCATAAATTCAAATAATCATTAGCTTATTTTGGCTTTCATATTCATTTAATAATTCACAATCTTCATTTTTAAATTGAAGTTTAACCCATTCAGGATTTAAACAATGTTTAATTAATCGTGGAATATCTGACATCATCTATATATAGCTTCTTTTATAAAAGATGAAAAATAAATTATTTTAAAATTAATGTTAATTTTATTAATGTGTTTATTACATTATGTATGGGCTGAGTGTAAATGTCTTACATTTTTGAATATTTTTAAATTTTGATTTATTCAAAAACGTAAGAATAAAAACCGTAAGAATCATACATTTTTTACTTCATATGTTAAAAAAAATGATACAAAATCGTTCAATATTGTATGAATTCTTACGTTTACAAAAAAAGTCACACAACCCTTCATACCCTACTACTTCGAATCGGGAATTAAAAAATTAATAAGATTTTTTGAATAAATATAAAAACATTACAGATTTACATCGAGAGAAAAATTGCGCTCCTAGTTGGTTTCTTTGCCGGATAAAATTTTATATTCAGAATCACGTAAAGTAATATTTTGCAGGTGTGGTTCTATCACACTCCAATTTTCAGTGAACCACTTGAGTAAAACACGGTTATCTCGGGAAGCATCTCTATCAAGCCTAATTTTCGGATTTGTTGTATGCTCACATATAATTTGTGCAATACTTTTGAGTTCGCTATGTGTTACACCTGGACCAAACATTTGACTGATGACTTTCCATGCTTCAGAATTTTCAGAATCAAAGTCTGCAAGCCTTTTCTTTACTCTTGCAGCTTCAGTTCCATCACCTCTTTTCGTTCTCTTTTTCCTATCCTCATCAGAATCATAATCGGAAGAGTCAAAGTCATACTTTCTTCTTCCCATTCAAATAAATTGCCATTTTATGGGTCACAACGATTGCAATTGAATATTTAAAGACCGAAATATTAAGTATTGCATGCATAGGAGTCTTCAATAGTAAACAAATATTAAAGAAAACACGCATTTCTTTTTCCAGAATAATATCAATTAATTATGCCAGAAGTGATTTTTATGAATATTAGATCTATATTTCAAATACAAAAAAACTGTAGGATATTATTAAATGTTAATTGCATTATAAAATTTAACAAACAAAAAAGTTTAACTATTCATGATGGCATTGTATAATTCATCCTCATCTATGTTATCAGATTGGCTCGATACATCAAATCCAAATGGACTTTTAGATTTGTTCCGATTGTTTTTCGTTGAGGTTCGTGCCCTGCTTGGGGATCGAGTAGCCTTTTGAGAATTTATAGGATGTGTATTATTTGGAGGATGACCTATATCAAAGGAACTTCCAAACAGATCATCGGTGGAAGTTTTTTCTATCGAACTATTATCAAATCCAAATGGAGATTTGGTCCTTGATCTCCTAGCTGTTGTTGGTTTTGGTGCATTCAAATCAAGATCATCATTTAATAGGTCATCGATATCTTGATCTAAATCATTCATATCTTTTGGTTTGGTTTTCTTGTATGTTATTGGTTGTGTTGCAATCTTCTTCGATTTTGGTTCTGATTCTGAATTCAGGAAGCTGTCGTCAAGCAAATCATCGTTTGAATCCTGCTTACGTGAAAGAGAAGTTGTTCTCCGATTCCTCGTGCTATGATTTTCTGACTTTTGCTGTTCCTGTTTTTTATGGTGCTGTTGAATTGATGAGTTATTAAACAAGAAATCATCACCACTCTCAGTTGATGAACCAAAATCAAAAGTTGCCGATGATTTTGGTTTAGACAGATTTGTTCTAGCAAGCCTATTCTTTGAAGGTGATTTTTGCTTTTGATCATTGAATTTATTATGGTTTACAGTAGCAGTTTCATTATCTTGTTTAAATGATTTAGTTTCTTCTTGTAGATGAATTACGTTATCAGTTTGTGTATTATCAGTTTCATTAGCAGGAAGTTGAATAGGTTGTTTATGAATACTTTGGTGTTGATCTAATTGTTGTGGTGTATCTTTATGTATATCTGTATCATTTGCGTTGGCAGAATTCCTTTTTGAACTAACAATATTTGAATCTGAAGTAGTCTCACTTTTTGAATTTATTTGCTGGTGGCTATTATCGATTATCTGAGTCTCCTCTTTAGCATCAATAGATTCCATTTGTAAGCGATTACTCTCGGGTACTTCAAGTGGATTTTGTTTTATTTCTGGAGATTCATCAATATTCATAGATTCAATATCATTTGAATCAAATCCTGTAATAGATATAATGTTTGTAAAACTATTTGAGAACTTTCGACCAATAAAGTTAATTAAAATTTCCAAATAGTATAGTAAAATAATGATATCATGAACAAATAAAGTATGGTTATGATAGAAAGAGTGTATGTCAGCCGATGTCTTATATTTTGAATTAAAAGAAGTGATTAAAGAAGAATTTTCGAAGGAAATAATGTAAGTATTCATATATAAACCATATTCTAGCTCTTTCTGATACGAAGTATAAAACAGTGAGACCATAACTAAAAAACCTGTAATAAATACCGAAATCGTATAATAATATATTAAGCTGTTTTCATTTTCTTTTTTCAAATTAATACACTCAATAACTGCAATGAGAACTGTAGCCATCGTGATAATAATCATGATGATTGATAAAATTATGCCTGAAGATCCACAGACTTGAAACCAGTATTTTTCGCAAAATACAACAAGCATATATATGCTAAATATTAGCAGAGGGAAAGGAGCTACAATCATAGCAAGCGTATTGATAAGTCTCGCTCCTTTACCCATTTCTGTTTTTTAAACGTTCACCATAATAAATTTTTTGAAAAAATATCAAATATAAGATATATTTAGCCTAAAGAAGATAAGATGTAAATAATTTGTTATAAAAATCATCAAGTTTTGCCAAATCAGAAACATTGATTGTTTGTCGAGGGGCATTACCGCTATAAGCAGGTATTCCGACATTAATGACTGCCATTCCTTGTTGAGAGGCGACTATGGTTCCAATGGCATCAGCCTCTGGACTTCCAGATATTATTGAAGTTTGAATTTCATTTGCTGAAGTAAATTTGTTTAGGCGTTCATATGGTCCGTTTGCTGTGGACGTCGATTGATCTGGTTGGTAACGAACTTGGATACCGGATCCGGCTGCTTGGTCTTTAGCTGAAATATCAGTAGAGGCAATAAAAAGAGAATTTGCTTTAAATTCTGGAGGGGCACCAATCCTGTCAAGCGTGTTTGAAAGTAATGTAGATTTTGGTCCGCAGCGTGTATTTCCGGTAATGCAGGTCGAATCATAGACGATGAATCCGGCTAATCCAGATTGTTGGTCAGGAGCCGTAGCAAATTGATGGAGAGCAACAATAGCAGTAAGTAGAGATTCTAGTCTTGAACCCATGATAAGTCCATTGTCAAGGCCCAAAATTGTTGTGTTTTGAGCATCGACAAAATGACAATCAAAATCAATGATCTTATCAGGTGAGGTATTAGCTGCTTCAGCAATAACTCGAACTAATCCACTGCTGTGTTCTTTAGAAAGTTGGGGATCCGATGATGTTAATTCGAGAATTGGATTAAAATCTAACTCAAGATTAGATTCTTTTGGGGCGTTTGGGCCACGGCACATATGAATAGCCAAAGAAACTATAGAAGCAACAGACTTTTCTGATTGATAAAGTACATTTTTAACTTTTTCGCCATCTTTGTAGAGAACGCGCCCTGCGATACGAAGATCACGATCACGCCAGAGTTCCCAGTCAGCTGTTGATCCATATGGAGCTATCCGTACAAGATCAACGCCAGAAGCATCAAAAATGCTACGTGGTTTTGACTTGAAGCATTGAGCGTCGCATCTCGTACCAACGATAATTCCTTTTGTAAAATCTTTCTTATTTATTGCAAATATTTGTCGGTTATCTCTAGTTACAAAAAATTTATTTGGAATTTGTTCCCATTTTTCTGTTTCTTTCATTTCTGTATACCCTGCAGCAAGAAGTACTTCTCTTGCATATTGTATATAATGACTTGGAGTGAGGCATTTGTCAAGTGCAGCTGCAAACTTTTGAGCAATGGTTTCCATTATGAATTCTTTTTGACAAATACGGTTCACTTTGAATATTTGGGTTATGTAAATCATGAAATATAAAGAAGGCAATAAGAACAATATGAATTTATTAATAAAAATAAAATAATAAAGGTAATGATCAACTATCCATTGAACTCATTTCAACTTGGGTTGCTGAGATTTGTGTTGACCTTTGATACTGACCATTGCGGCCATTAATTTGATAGTCCGTTGCTTTAATCGCAGACAAAAGTTGATAATGTCTTTGTCTAATGTTCCTTAAGGTTGGATCTAGTTGCTTTAATAAACTTTTTAACTCATTATTGCGTGCAGTAGCTAATTTAATGTCTTGATTCAGATTTGAAAAAGTTAAAGAAAGTGAATCTTGCTGTGTTTTTTGTTTCATCAGCTCGTTAATTATATCAAATTCTGTCGATTCGGATTGGATTTGAAATATAAGCTTTTTATTTGCATTTTTTTGCAAATTAATTTGTTTTCGAATCTTCAAGAGCTTTAACTTGAATTTACGTCGTATTTCATCAATAGATGGCTCCAAAATTCGATTTTGAGGCATTTCGAATTGAGTTGTTAAAAGGCTAATTCGTTGATTAATTTTATCAATTTTTTTATTAATTTCCACTCTTTGGAGATTATTTTTATCCTTAATAGAGGCTATTTCTTTTTCAATCTTCTTAATTAGTTTTTTTCTAGTTGCGATAAGATTTTCGATATCTTTAATTTGTCGAATATTGTCTTCGGAAAAATTCTTGATTGATGTAGTTAGAGTTAGGTATTCGCTTATGTTCTTTTCATTAATTCTCGAAATATTTTGTTTTAGGTTCATTAAAATACTATCATCGGTATTGGAAGACAAAAGTGCGTCTGGCTCAATCATTTTATTGACCTTATCTAATTCTAATTTGAATCTTGCTCTAAGTTCTTTTATTTCGTATTTCATCTTTTGTTCTTCTGATTTTAGAATGCCATGATGCCTTGCTTGAAAATTTGAGATTTCTTTATGCAATTGAATCTTTTTCTCTAAATGTCTAGCTAAAACTCTTGAATTAGTTTCACGGATAATATTGATTTGTTGTTGTTTCTCCCTTAATACTTTTTTTAAGCGTGCTATCTCTTCTTCTTGCATGTTGTTCATTTGATTATATTTGAATTTTACACTGGAAATTAATCTGCTTTCAAAGAAATTATAATCATCTGAACTGTCACTCATAAAATTGAATCAAATTCGATTCAAAATTAAAGTTGAGAATCATTACGAAGTTAATGCAGATGAACAACCACAATATCTCAACAAATTTACATCATTCAAAAATTTTTGAAGATCTAGGAATTTTATTTAACATAGATTTGATTTTAATTGACGAAAATAAAAAGAGAAAAATTTGAGAGAATAATAAAAAGATTTAATAATTTAAATTCCATTTGATTTAGGTAGCATGTATAAGAATTGATGGTTATTCCTATAGACAGTTTCGCGTTCTAATAGACCAATTTTGTTTTGAATCTGGGATTGAACAGCAAATTTAATGAGATCGTATCCGCAGTTAATTAATACGTCAGGTTTAACCCAAGCAGCCGAATGAATTTCATAAGGATCATACTTAATTTTGGTTGAGAGGGGTTTAAGGCGAAAAATATGGAATAAATCAGGAGCTTGGAAAGTATTACTCTTTGGCCAGAAACGAGATGTTACCATATACATTGGTTCAGCTTGAATACCTGTTTCTTCCATTATTTCTCTAACAGCAGTATCTGAAAGTTTTTTATCTTTTCTAGGATCAAAAAGTCCGCCAGGTAATTTCCATGGAGAAGGACCGGTTTTGTAATTCTCTCGAACAGCTAAAATTTGGCCCTCATTGTTAATACACATTCCACCAACTCCTAAATATGCAAATGGAGGGTTAGGTAAAGTTTTTGACTTTTCACGAATCCATTTATTGAGAACAATGACATTTCCTGATTTACTTCTATGAATATCAAAACCTTGCATTATTAATGGATAAAGATGCTTGAGATCTGTCCCACGGAGCTTAACCCAAATGGAGGGCCGATCTTCTTTTTTCCATTCATTAATGTGATTATTAATAAAATCTAATAATTCTTTTGGATCTTGAAGATTCCCATCCCATTTAATTTTAACATCCCCGAAACGAACTTTATAATATGATGAAAACTTTCCTTCTTTTACACCTTTGATTGCTTTTCTATCAGGTAATATGCTCATTAATTTTTTTAACGATATTCAATTTTTGAATATGTGTTCGTTCTAAGAGGTAGGGCAACGATAGAAAATTTTTGGAAAAAAAGTTCGGAGATCTTAAACGTATCATATTCCCTGCATGGTTTGGTATCTTCCGCCATGCGTTGTGCCAAACATATTGACACTTTCCAATAATTAATTTATGGTATGAGTCACAGAGTTAGATTATAAAAAGAAAGTAAATAATTGCAATTAGAAATCATATATGTCGGAAATCAAATGTTGATGAGCAGAAACCTTTTACTCATCATAAAAGAGATAAATCACTAAAGATTTGTATACATTAAAATTTGATATTTGGTGCTCGAAAACTGTCTGATGGGACTCCTCCAAAATGAACCAATCTATCGCTGAGGACCAAATTAGATGATGTGGATGGTGTATTCTCTAATTCTAACTTAGGAAGAATGGGAACAAAACGAATGACGACAACAACATGTCAAACATAGATTAAATATCTATGAATCAATAAAGTATACGTGCATTGAAGGTGATAACGATCACTTGAGGCTTATAACTCTTTGACTAAATTATGCAATAATTAAATATAATCATTTTTATATTTTTATACTGATAGTAATTAATATACTATCCTGCTTAATAAATGGTATGATCAAATTTGTTTGAAAATTTAATTATGTATATGAAACTATGTCTTCTATATAAAAATCAAAATTTTCGGACGAACCTAGATTGAACCTTTATGAAAATCTATCATTTTTGTTAATTGAGTTAATATGAATCTTTTACATATGTATATAAGGTCAGGTAAGTGGGGCTTCCAGGCGCGTTGCGCCTTCTAGCCCCTAAGAAATTTTGCCCAAGACCCAAGAGGAGGACCGAACCCCAGCCGACCAGCCGGTGACAAAACCAAAACCGTTGTTATTTACATCATATTAATGATGTCACTTTTAAAAATGTCACTTTTTGTTTCACTTTTCACAAATTATATATGTTTTCATGCTTTGTCACTTTTCTGTCACTTTTCGGGTAAAAACATTTTTATTATTATATATAAATGAATTTTACAAAACCACCGTTACCGTTCTTTGGAAATAAGAGTAGATGTAAAGATATTATATTGAGAGAACTTAAGAAACTACCGAATGGTCTAACATTTGTAGATTTGTTCGGTGGAAGTTTCTATATATCCCATTTATGTCATACAATATTCCCAGACTCAAAGATTATATGCAATGACTTCGACAACTATATGGACCGTCTCAAACATATTCCAGACACAAACAACATATTGAAAGAGTTAAAAGAAAAGATACCTATAGGTAAGATGGAACGTATACCATTAGATAAGAAAAATATTGTGAGAGAGGTTTTGAAAAAAGCAGAATATATAGACTGGGATAGTATATCTGCTAGACTATTATATAGTGGTGCTATAAGAGTTCATGACATTGAAACACTTATGTCAAAAGTTTTATATCTTAACTATACAAATGTTTTCAAAGAGAACATAGAAAAATATATTGAGGGTATAGAGTTTGTGAGATGTTATTGGACAGAGTTGTATGAAAAATATAAAGACAAGGAAAATGTTTTCTTTATAGTGGACCCGCCGTTCTATAACACATGGGATTTTCAATACCAAGTAGACTGGACTTTGAGAGACTCTTTAGAAACTTTAGACGTTATACATAACCATCCATGCTTTTACTTTACATCCGATAAAAGTGATTTGGAAACCGTTATGAGATGGCTAGAGGACATACATGACTATGAGTTTATATATGACAAGATAGAATATGAGAGAGGTCCTATAAACTGGAGAAAGTGTCATAACAAAGAAATTTTATTAGTAAGTAAATGTGGTTTGAAATAGGACTACTTGTTTTAGGTTTTTTCCATTGTGTCATTTATTTATTTGACGTGGCAGAAAGATATAGAGAATATGAAGATGAACCAATGCCTGCAAATGTTCAGTATATGTACTCGTAAGAGATATTTTTATCTAATATTAAATGGACGCACAGAACTTAGCGAATGCACAGCAACCTGGACAACCAAACCCAGAGAATATTCCAAATGAAGTTAGAATACAAACTGCAATGGCAAACTATGGTCAAGTGCCAACAGATGTACAAATGCAAACTGCCATGTCAAATGACGCTGCGTTAGGTTTGCCACCATGGTATGCAAATATGAGATGGAAAGAGTTTTATACAAACCCTGAAGTGGGATATAAACAACTTTATGCAGATGACGCGAACACAGGAGTTGACCCAGAATATGTTTTCTACCAGAGGAGAAACAGAATGTATGAGCTCCAGTTAAAGAATGCTATGGAACTCAACAGGAAACGTAAGAGACTAGGCGGACATTAGATTTTTACACGTAGTAAATGGGTTTCTTCAGTAGTATTGGAAACTTCTTCAGAAGAGTTGGAAGAGGTATATGGAATGGAATAAAAACCGTAGGAAGAGGAATTTGGAACGGAGTCAAAAATATTGGTAAAAGAGTAGGTCAGTTTGTTGGTATTATACCTAAAGACCCTGAACCAGAAGAACAAGCTCCTGTTATACAACAGCCTGAACCTGCACCACAGTCTAGTTGGCAACCAAATCCAACACCTCAACCGTATTAAAAAATTATATTTTTACCGTTCGATAGTAGTTGTATATGAAACTAAGTTCTAAGTAAAACGCATGGTATAATGGAATTATTCTTTTTCTTCCATCTGTAGTAAACCATACTTGAAAGTCCGAAATACTTCCACTTGGTGGTTCGTATAACTTTGTAGGTTTTTCGTAAAAGTCATTTGCCAAGCATAAGAAAGAGTTTTGGGCGCCAGAAAATGAAGCATGAACTATCACAGCATCTTGGTCGAAAATATTTTCATATGTTCCATTAGGGTTTTCGACTTCATAATAGTCCGGGTGTACTGGATATGCTGCAGGCTGATTTAACATCCTCATAAATCTATACCATGCCAAGTTGTTATATTTTGTAGAAATATAAACGTTTTCTCCAAGGTCTTCTATTTTATTGATTTTAACAGTTGCATTTTTCCTGTCATAAATAATATCGAGATGGTATTCTCCTTCGTCAATGTTATACTGGTTTGCATATTCAATATAGATATCGTTTATTTTTTCTTGAAAAGCTTGAAGAGTTGTTTCTAAGTTTACAAGCAAACTAACTTGTAAAAGTTTTCCCTGTTCAAATTTCTCATACATACGTTTTTCTTTGTTATAGTATCGAACTTCAAAACCGACCGTAAATGGGAAACCATGTATGGCTTCTGAAATGAACTTCATTCTACGAAAGCCAATAGCTTTTGTGACGGATGGGTCTCTTAACCATCTTAATGGGTAGTCAAAACGATAGCCTTCATGCTTTACGGTATCTGTCTCAACCTTTTGACCGACATTAGTAAAAAGTTCATCTAATGGTTTAGTTGTAGCAACTCTAGAATTTTCTTTTTCTATTGGAAGCATATTTTATCTATAATAAAAATGTCGAAAGATATTGCTTCCATAAGAGAAATACAACACAACCGACAACTCATTATGCAAGCTCTAAATAAGAACACAACAAACTTTTCAAACTATTCTAAGATATCTGAGTCATTGAAAGAAGGAAACTTAAAACTGACAATAAACCCAATGACAGATGAGTTTCTATTTCAAGACAAGAAGAACAATACTGTCTGTATAAATCCAACAAAAGGAACTTTAAACGAGAAACCTATAAATGAACTTCTTTTGAAAGCAGATGTTGACAACAAAGCTGACAAAGAATATGTAGACGATGCAATAGCAAAAGAAGAAGAAAGAGCTAACAATGCTTATGCAACAAAAGAACATACTCATCCTGAACTAGCAGACAAAACATATGTTGACAATAAAATGTCAAGTGAAGTGACAAGAGCTGAAAACGAATATTCTAAAAAGACTCATACACATTCTATATCTGATATTACAAACTTACAAGAAACCTTAAACAGGAAAAGTGCCGTTGGACATACACATACCATTGCAAATATTACAAACTTACAAGAAACATTAGAGACAAAAGCAAATAAGACTCATACACATTCTATATCTGAAATAACAGACTTAAACGTTAGCCTTGAAAAGAAAGCGGATAAGGAATATGTGGCTAGTAAGTTAGAGAAGAAAGCGGATAAGGAATATGTGGATGAAAAAGATAATGAAATTAAAGAAAGGGTTGAATGGTATCATGAATGGACATCGAAGATTTTTAAAAGTAAAGCTGATACAGGATGGGTTTCAGGATGTTTAGACCTTAAAGCAGATAAAACTTATGTTAACGATGAGTTAGAGAAGAAAGCAGATAAGACTCATACACATACAAGTTTTACAACTTTTACAGCAGATGATATTACACTAAACACAACCTTGCCAAATAAAGGTCCAACAATACCACCGGCAACAAGTCTTGTAGATACTTTGATATCTAATGACAATAGTATTATGCATCTAAGACAGGAACTCAATGTGCTTAAACAAATTTTGCCGAATCTTATTTACCCGGTTGGCTCATTATATGTTTCAATGAACTCTACCAGACCAGAAGTAGTACTTGGTTTTGGAACTTGGACTCAAATAGTCGACAGGTTTTTGTATTGTGCAAACTCTTCAAAGGAAACAGGTGGAAGTAAAACGATTTCAGGTGCAAATTTACCTGCACACAGTCACTACATAGATTTAAGTACATCTCAAGCAGGTTGGCATAAGCATAGATATTGGGATTGGTCAGCAATGACAAAAGGTAAAGGATATGATGTTAAAGACAACGTTAAGTTTGCTATAAATTGTTACTGGAGTAACACTGAGGGAGGAGGAAACCATACACATCACGTTTCAGGATATACGCAAACAACGGGACAAAGTAAAGAATATATGCCACCTTACATGACAGTTTACGCATGGTATAGAATTGCTTAGTCGTCATTTTCAACTTCTTTAGCATATTCGTCAGGAGTT